ACATGAACCGCCCCAAGTAGAACGTCCAGAGTTGTCATCTAGTAATTATGGTTATTATAACATGGCGTGAACACAGCATGTCTCCACTTCACTTAAAATTTTAGGATGTCAGTGGTAAGTTTCAGCTCTGTATCACGTCTACACTAGAAGGACATCTGGCTCCAAAAGAAGTGGTCCTTTTCCCACATTAGCAATATTTCTTTGCATTTTATATATATATATATATATATATTAGACTTATGCCGGTATTCGGTAATGCGATATATCACGGTAATGAATATGCACGATATTGTTATAGTGGGCACTTCTAAATACCGTGAATAATTATATATTACAGATTATTCAGAATTTTGAATGCATTTTAAGAATACTTTTCCCATCAAATGGTCAAAATGCACAATACCGCTGTATGCGCGAAAGAAGCTGTGTGAAAGACGCATGAGCACTCTGACCTAAACAAGCGCGGACGAGAAGCACATGGCGGAACATGTGAGAGACGCTCTGGATGAAAGCGCACTTTCACTCTCTGACAGCAGATGGCCTAAACTGCAGAAATAATAATAATAGTAGTAATAATAATAATAATTCATTTAAATGCAGCCGTTACCCCGGAAACCCTGTAAACAAAGCAGCTGCACTACTTCCGGTTTCTGAATCGTGTTTAAATGATTTAAACAGCCATTCAGATTTGTGTATTTGCTATGATGTTCATCACAGCGCCAAATACTTAAATATTTAGGCATTTCCCTAATATATATATATATATATACATACATACACTGTATATATTAGGGCTGTCAATTCAATGCATTAATATAATTAATTAAAAATAATGCAATTAAAATATTTTAATGCAGTTAATGCACTGGCCCCACCCCAGACCTGTACGTCATCTTACATTTCATACATTTGACTGTTGTCAAACACTGCATGATGTAGTCCATAAATGCAATTATGTGTCCCTAAAATTCAAGATATTTGGCCAAAAAATGACACTGTATGAGTTTTTGTCTCATATTTATATCATATTATAATTTATATATATATTATAATATTAATATCATGAGCAGTGAGAGCAATATCACCAGAATGTTGTTTTTGTCCCAAATAACATGAGTGCAAATGTGATTTTATACAACAGTTCAGTAAACAAGAAGTTAATATTGCATTATATTTTAAACACAATATTGTCTGTTTTTGCTCAATTTTGCCAATGAAAATATTACATATAAAGCCACACAGGGCCGTGCAGAGACCTTTGGAGGGGCAGGTGCTCAAAGTATAAAAGGGGCACATGGTGTATAATAATAATAATTTAATAATATAAGCATACAAGCACGCCGCTCCGCTGAGAACTCCACTTACCGGCAGCCGTGGACGTTATGAAGGCATCCTGGTAGTGCGCTACATTAAAGGTGTCTGAACGTGAGGGATA